TCCTGCCATCCACCCGCGCCACGTTTACTGACGCGCCCCCGCGTCCGCGTGAACCTCAACCTGTTCCTCAAGGCTAGGCCAAGGCGGTGGACGAGGACAGGGCCCAGGTGACCATCGTGAGGTGTGTCCGTACGAGCTCATGTTATGCGTTCCTCCCGCTCGTCATATACACCTCCCTTTCACTCATCCGGCGCTGCGTCTCTCCTCCCATGCACTTTCGACCTCCTTTCCTTCCCTTGTCGCACCCGCCTTTCCCCTCTACTTTGCTCCCTCCCTCCCCTTTCTCTCGCCGTCCCCTCCCCTCCTGTCCCATTCTCCATCATCCCTCCCTTGCCCCCCTTTTCTCCCGCTCCCCGCACCACACACTAACGCCCCCGCAGAATAACGAAAGAGCGCAAGACCGCTCATCCAGGAGGTGATCGCGCACATCGCGCCGAAGATTCCGGATATCAAGGTGTGTTTCTTTTTTCTTTTTTCCTTTTGGGGGGCGGTTGCGGGGAGGTGTTTTCTTTGAGGGGCGTTTGGTGCGGAAGGGGGTGCGCGCGCTGTCGCGTCGGCGTAGCGTTGCGCGCTCAGCGTGGCTGCGCGTTATGAGCGTGTATGTGTGCCGTATCGGATGGGTCTGCACGCGAGCTTCTCTACGCCTGGTGCACGTCGGGGATCTGCCACATCTACTGCGTACTACGCACCTCACCGCGTCGCTTTGTGCTATGAGGGCTCGCGTCGCGCTCTGTACTGTGGGCCGCGTCCAGTCCGCGGGCTGGTGGGAGAGGTGACGCGCGGGCTGTTCCGCAGGGCCATGTGCGCCGCGTGTCCCGTGCGCGGCCTGCGCACGCTGTCCCGTCGGCGTCGCGTGGCTGCGCGTTACATGAACTGCGCTTGTGTTTGGCTTATCGGATCGGCGTATGTGCGAAGTTCTCTGCGTTTTAGGTCGCCGGAAGCAGGCGGGCGGGCGTGCCGCCGTAGGCGACGGCCTCAACGCAGACGTTACGGGTGGGAAAGCGGTACGCGACATACGCCCCGCCCCGCGGGCGCTCGCCTGCCCCCGCACTGTGTGCTGCGCGGGGCTGCGTTCTGCGGTTTCGAGCCGTAGACGCATTGCGTCTTTGGGCCCCAGCCGGTAGTTGCAGACGTGCGTTCTGCGCCGGAGTCGTGGCCGACGTGCGTCGAGCGCCGAACGGGGATGTGCCTGACGTTGTCGACGTACGGGTATGCGACGCTGCCGACGTGGACGACATACGCCCCGCTCCGTGGGCGCGCGCTTTCGCCTTGTGTGTTGTGGGGGACTGGGTTCGGAGCCTTCGGGCCCTGCGGAGCCGCGGTGCGCCTTCGAGCCCCGGCGCCGGTGCGCCTCTGTTCCCCAGCCGGTGCTTGCGGGGGGCCGTTATATTAGGCGCCTGCGTTCTGTGTCGCGCGCCGTGGCCGAGGGGCGGATGTGGATGTGGCTAGCGCTGTCGACGTGTGCGCAGGCGACGTTGTCGACGTGGATGTGCCATCGTGCGCTTTTCATTCGGTGGCCGCGCCGCACTTCTCGGAACGTCCCCGCTTTGCTTTGTGCGCTGCGCGCAAGCCGGGTGCTGACGTGCTCGGCGCGCCGACGTGGATGGCCTCGACGCGCTCGTCGCAGTGCGCTAGACGCCGACGCGGGCGATTTGGACGCGACGCGCGGCCTCCTGCGTCTGGGCTTTCCGCATCAGCCGTATTCCCTCTTTCGCTCCCCCCCTTCCCTCCTGCCCCTTCTCCGTTAACGCTACAACATTGCCCCCTTCTCTCCCTTTCTATTTTTGCTGCTACGGGTGATGCTGTCGACGCACCCCGATAGAGGACGCTCCTGGAGAAGGAGTACATCGAGCGCGTGGACGGGTCCAAGGACACGTTTGCGTACGGTGCGTGAGGCAGCGTCTCCTGCGCCGTGACCCGTGTCGACCGCGTCTTCCCTGTTCCTGCGTCGACGCGTCTCCTGCGTGCCAAACGGATCTGCGCATAGGTATGGTGGGGTGGACACCTCGTGCGACGAAGAGCTCCAGAATGGCGTAGCTGGTAGATGCGTTGTGTAGACCGCCCAGTTTCCTCTTTCGTCTTCTTTTGTTCTTTTTACTTACATCGTTCCTTTCTCTCCGCATGACTCCCTCCTCGTCCTACATACACACACACTCGACCGCTTTGCCAGATAATTATGCTAATTAATTACCTACCAAACCACCCACCTACTTGCACTCGCGCGAATGAAGATTAAAGAATGAAATGGTTGTTGCATCGACGGGCTGCATGTTAAGGAAAGTTGCGTGATCCTGAAGTGTAAATCGGCATGTTTGACTGTGCTTGGCCCGACCTAACAAGCGAGGTACAAGCTTCATTTCAAGTTAAAGCGTTTAGACTATCTTTGCACTCCCACCACTAAAACACCGCTGCGCCATCCTCCTCTGGCACGCTCATCAAGCGTCGTCCTAGATGCATCCCGCCCTACAAATTGCTGAAATCGTGGAGCTGATATGTAACGAGTCTGCCGATTTTGACGGTGATCGTGACCTAAAAACTCTGGGTGCTTTGGCAAGAACGGCCACCACCTTCACTCATAGCGCGCTCAACGGGTTATGGGAGCGTCAAAATGGACTCATCAATATCTTGGAGTGTTTGCCCGCAGACCTGTGGGATGTTGGGCGTGGGCTCTTGGACGACGGCAGCTTGTTTGTGAATAAAATCTGTCCGTGAAAGCATCCTGGGCCTGACCAACCTATTTCCAGCATTTGCTTTGCCCAGTTAAACAGACTGATTTAGAGCGCCTCCTCGTCCATTCCGCACGCGTCAAGATCCTAGAGTTCGCCAGAGAAGACGTGACTCCCCGGATTTCTGGTCTTCTGCACCAAATTCAGCCCTTTCTTCCGCAGAGTTCTTTGTTCCCGAATCTTCGAAGCATCATTTTCGAAAGGGCGAGGGAGCGCGGGTTACTCAGTCCACATCTTGGCCTGTTCATCCCCAACACTGTTACGCGAATATGGATGAACCTCGAAGACATCGGCAATTGGCCCCTACTCCCCCTTCTGCCGCCTCTAAATTCCTCATTCACGTCAGTAAGGCTCATTATGGATAGGGATCCAAACAATATGGAGCGCAGCTTCATTTCGACATTCGTATGGGCGCTGGACCAAGTAACGGACCTAGAAGTGCCCGCACTTGATCCAACGGCGCTCAAGCATGTTGCCAGCCTTGTTGCTCTCAAATCCTTGAGCATAAACCGCGCAGGCGCCGGCGATTTATCTCCTGGACTCCTCCGGCCGCTCGGATTCTGTGCGCTCACGAATCTCACTTTCTATGCAGTATCCTTCCAGTTCATAGCTGACCTCATTCAGGGACTATCGAACAGTCCAGTTGCGAACCTCTACCTCGGCAGCTGCGACTTGCCCACCTAAGCTACCATGCAAACTCTCTGTCTCGCACTCTCTTCACGCATCACTCTTTCAGATCTTCGGATGCAACATTACGACTATTTCCACTACCCGGACAACCGTGGTTTCTACGGCCACACAATCTCCCTGTTGTTCTGCTTCAGCAGCATGCAGAATCTGGACCTGTGCGCTCCAGGCAGGTTCCAACTCGAGGATGTCACGGTCTGGGACCTGGCTTAGGCATTTCCCGAGCTGTGGCTCCTCTCGTTGACGACATCCGATGGGGTGCATTACACTCCTCACGTGACACTTGACGGATTCGCGATTCACTGTCCGTACCTGGCCAGCCTGTCGATTGCATTTGATGCAACCGTTATTCCACCTGCCATTGACTTCACCACCTCCAATGCTTTCTACCCAAAGCTCACAAAGTTGGATGTCCTGGACTCTCGGATTTCGTCGCCATCGGATGTCGCCCGGTTCCTCCCGGGCATATTTCCCCTCCTGGCGAGGTTAGCTTGTAATCATGAACCAATGCGGGGGGTGTTGACCGCTGAGGATTGTGAGAATTGGGACCAGGTTAAAAGTATGCTTGATGCACGCCGCCGCTGCCGGGAGGAACGGCTCAGGGCGGCGGCACCTTCAATGCGTGTTTAATAGCTCTGTTGCCAGCTATCTAAAATCCTATTCTCCATTGATGTCTCTCATTTCTGCCTACAGAATAGCTGCCAAATTATTTTTGTATCAATATACTTTTGACCTGCGACTGAGGCTCACCGGTGCTCACCTTCCGCTTCGCTGTTGTCTCCACTGTCCAGGAATAAAAGAAGAGGAAATTGGCAAGGCTTTGTTCAATCCTGAATATGAATGCTTCCCACTCCCTATCTGCTGTCCGGGAAAAGGCTGTTCATCACTTCAATTGAATGTCTTCGGGTGGGTTCGAACCACCGACTCTTCCGTGCCTGTGTGCAACATTAAATTGGAGCTGGGAGTGAGTTACACTACTCCACGAGGACGATATGAACTTATTTTGTACTCTGAATATATTCTTTCTTTTTCTTGCTGGGAGGAAAAAAGGCAGTATACCACAACCAAATGTCTTCGGGTGGGTTCGAACCACTGACTTTCCCGTGGCTACGTTGATCGAGCTAGCAAGTGGGAGTGAGCTGCTTATAATTGCCTGAAGATGATATCAGTGTATCTTGTACCTCGGATACACCCACAATCAACCCACGGGCCGCAATATTAATATTGCTTTAGGCTGGGAGAGAGAAAAAGAAGCCGCTTCAGCCATTAAATGCCCCGAGTGGATTCGAACCACTGACCCTCCGTTACAATATGGATTGAACCTACCGACCGACCGAACAGGTCGGACTCCAGAGCATTAGTCCACGGAGACGATATGAGGTTACTGTGTACCTGGGACATGCCCATAATTTATTTTGTGCTGGGAGGAAAAGACGGCTTCAAGTTCGACCCGTGGGACTGAGTAATATTCGCACTACCAGTACTCCATGAAGATGATATCAGCGTACCGTGTACTTCTGATACACCCATCAGATTAATTTTGTATTGAGAGGGGAGCAACAAAAAAAGGGATTTCCCTTCGCCAAATGTCTTCGGGTGGATTCGAACCACCGACTCTCCGTTATGGACTCAGTGGAACAACTAAGCGAGTGGGAGCGAGTTGTATTACTCCACGAAGACGATATGAGCTTACATTGCACCTCGGATACACATCATATTATTTGTTTTTTGAGAGGAGAGGAACAAAAGAAGAAAAAGGAAGACTTTTTTGCAGCTGCGGAATGTCTTCGGGTGGATTCGAACCACCGAGTCTCGCATGGGGCATCTAACAGGTGGGAGTGAGTTGCATTACTCTATGAAGCCGATATCAGTGTACGTCGTACCTCGGATATGCCAAGCCGGCGTTACAATTTATTTGATGCCGGCAGGCAAGGTTTGAACCGTGTCGCTGCAATGTCCGCGGATCCCCAATAATGGGCCACTTGAACTGGAACGAAACTCCGATGTTTGCGGGTGGCTAACTTCAAGTTCGAACTATGGGACTGAATTACACTACTTTGAAACTTAATTCAGGAGCACAAGTTTCAATCCTCAATACCTTCCCATGCTTATATGCCTCCCAGAGTAAAAAAAACGGCCATGATTCTCAGGAAAGAGAAAAAAGGAGCTTGGCACGAGGCTACCAAGGAAAAGAAGAAGAATCTTAAATCCGAATGTCTTCGGGTGGGTTCGAACCACCGACTCCCCCATCAAGCGCATCCAACAGGTGGGAGTGAGTTGCATTACTCCACGAAGACGATATGAGCTTACCCTGTAAATATACTCCCTCCTGTTCTTGCTGGGAGGAAAAATGCGTGAATGTATTTGCGTGGTTTCAAGCTTCAAGTTCAAGCCGCCTGCAGTGTCTGTCGGGTTCAACAAAACATAAGTCACATTCCAAATATCTCCGGGTGGGTTTGAACCACTGACTCTCCCTTATGGCTTCAATGACCTGAGTAAGCAAGTGGGGGCGAGTTGCATTATTCCACGAAGGCAATATCTGCCTAGCTTGAATGCTTCATACCTTTTAGGTTTCAAGATCCTCAATGGGGTAATAAAAAAAACCTCGCAATTGAGGTCGGGACGAGGGAACAAAAAGCGGTTCATTGAATGTCTTCGGGAAGATCCGAACCACTGACTCTCTCCCTCTGGGTTGAGTGTGATCCAGGAGCTAGTGGGAGCGAGTTACGCTACGCCACGAAGACAATATCGGCTTAGCTTGTACCCCGGACACCTTCCCACCGAGTGAAAAAAAACCTCACCAGCTCCCATCACACGTCTTTGGGTGGGTTCAAACCACGGACCGTCCCGGATCCATTCCCATCAAACTGGCGGGACTGAATTGCATTACTTCACGAAGATGATATCAGTTTACCTTGTGCCCTGGATACACACACAATATTAATGTTGTTTGGACTGGGAGAGAATAAAACCATGTGGCTGCAATATTGTGTCTAAGTCGAACCACTGAGAAAATAGTGGGGCCACTCCACTAAGATTATAGCCATACCATCCCATCCTCATCTCCCGGTCGGGTTATTTTTTACAACAAATATTTCAATGTGTATTTGAAATGTCTTCGGGTGGGCTCGAACCACCAACTCGTATGACTCTGATGACAACGGTGCACCAAGTGGGACGGAGTTGTATTATTCCACGAAGACGATATCAGCTTAAACTGAACTCTGAACATACTCCTTCATTTTTTTCTCTAGCCGTGGCGGAAGAAAGAGAAAAAGAGGCGGAGATAAACAGAATGTCTTTGAGTGGATTCAAACCACCGACTCTCCCGCTATTCCAATAAAATGCTGAACTAGCAAGTGGGAGTGAGTTGCATTACATACTCCGATATCGATATTATAATCAGCTTAGCTCATAACCTGAATATATTCCTTAATTTATTTCTAGGAGAAAAAAAAAAGATTAGCTCACACGAGCTCAATATCTTCGGGTGGGTTCGAACCACCGAGTCTCCCGCTATGGACATAGCAACGGAGCTAGCAAGTGGGAGTGGGTTGTGCTACTCCACGAAGACGATATGAGGTTAATTCGTACCTCGGATGCATCCACAATATTAATATTGTTGTTGGGATGGAAAATTCGAACCATATCGCTGTCGGTCGGATCTCCCCGATGTCGGAAAAATCCCATTCGGCTTTAAACGGCGCTGAACACGTTCCAAGCCGTTCCATGCCCAAATGGTTTTAGCTGGCTTCCAACGCACAGGTCGGAATCACGCAAGCGCTCCCAAGCCACGTCCATGCTCCTAACGCGTTCTGAGACGAGTCTCAGAAAAGTCACAAAAATTGTGCACTCCCGTTCTTCTCCACGAAGGGGGACTCTTTGAAGTCACAGTCATTGTAGTAGTTTGTTCTTTAGTCAGTGAGTAACAAGTAATTGATGATTTGGAGTAAGTTATTATGTTTGGTAAGCGTAGTATTAATTAAGGAGTGTGTCCAACACGCATACATGAATAGGAAAAGATTCAGAGGTCATCAACAGAGTTATGTACCTTGGTCGGCGTCCCGGGTGGGCCTCTGCTCAAGGCTTTTCACACGGGCTCCACAGCCGTTAGATTTCGAGAACAAGACTGGTTGAAAAAATACAACCCAACACAAGCATGTATTAAGTCAAATCACTCCTGTGAGGCACCGAAAATTGAGCTAAAATATTTTCTGACCCTCAAAAATATATGTGTACCTTGGGACAGCTTAGGACAGCTTGTAACTCACACCAAGCCTTCGAACGGCTTGAGACTGGTTCCAAGTCCCTCCGCCACGCCTTGGAAGGACTCCGAAGCCGTCCCAGGGTCACATGCTGAACCATGCCGTTGCAAGCTGAATGGTTTTTTTCCGACAGAGGAGTCTCCAGGAATATCAAAGGAAAATTGGCCATAACTCAAGGCTTGGATCAGTCCTGAATGCCTTCCCATCTCTATGATATCTGCCGGTTGGAGTAAAACAGACAAAAAGAAGCCACTCAAATTGAATGTCTTCGGGTGGATTCGAACCACCGACTCTCCTGCTCCGAGTTGAATTTCACAATGCTGCCTTAGCAAGTTGGAGTGAGTATCATATATATTACTCCACAAAGACGATATGAGCTTACCATTGTACCTAGGATACATGCACACAATATTAATATTGTTTTGGAGTGGGCAGGAAAGCAAAAAAAGGTCTTACCCCCCAATGTTTTCGGGTGGGTTCAAGCCACCAGCTTTTCCGTGGCTACGTGATGGAACCTCCAGGTAATGGGAATGAGTTGCATTACTCCACGAAGACGATATCGGCTTACCTTCTACCCTGAATATACTCTCTCCTTTTTTGCTGGGAAGAAAACTGTGAATGTCTTTGTCTGACTTCAAGTTTGAACCGTGGGACTGAGTAATATTCAGTAATATTCTCACTACTCCATGAAGACAATATCGGCTTACCTCGTACCCCGAATAAATCCATTCCAATCCCTTCTTTTCTCCCCGGGAGGAAAAAAACCAACTGTGTACCAAGTAATGTCTTCGGGTGGATTTGAACCACCGGCTCTCCCGGTATGGATCAATAGCGTCCACCTAGCAGGTAGGATTGAGTTGCATTACTCCACGAAGACGATATCAGTCTACCTTGTAACCTGAATATATTCTCGTCCTTATCCAATCCTTACCGGGTAAAAAAAAAATCACTAGCTAGCGCTCCCATCGCATGTCTTCGGGTGGGTTCGAACCACCAGCCCTCCCGGGGGTTTACGTTTGTGACCAAACGGTGGGAGTGAGTTATACTACTCCGCAAAGATGATATCAGTGTACCTTGCACCTCAATCTTATTTTCTGCTGGGAGAAAGCTGCTTGCAACTTAATAGACATGTTTGTCCGTGCTTGTCCCCCTCTCTGCGACGCGTATCGTCACGTGTACTCACCTTCTCTTTTCATGTCCAAACGCCCTGGGTCGCCCTCCTCCTCCTCCGGCACGCTGATCAGGCGCTGGCGTGCGACGCCGCCGCCAGGATCCTCCACGCAAATCGCCATCTCGTCGGACGGGGACTAGAGAAATGGTTTGATACGCAGCGCACAGCGCACAGCGCACAAGCGGGCTCGACGCGCCTCGCAGGCGCACATGGGGTGTGTCTCCCTCCTCCTTCTTTCATTCTACTTAAAATAATGCATCTTTGGGGCGAGATCCTGAGCTGCTGCTTCGACCCCACGGGCCAAAACATCGCCGCCTGTTCCGCCGACCGTAGCGTCTCCACCCGCGCCACGCTTATTGACGCTTCCCACCAGGCTTCAAATCGAAGAAGATCCAACCTTCCCATCGAGGTTGAGGCCAAGGCGGTGGAGGAGCACAAGAAGTATGTGACTTAGGCGGTGCTTGTCTGGTCTCTTTCTCCCGTTCTTTTCCCACTCGTCGTATACCTCCCTCCCCGTTCACGCATATCTCCCTTATCTCCTCGTCATTCTCTCTTCCCTTCCCGCCCCTACCTACCCTTCGCCTTCCCTTTCGTCGCTGTCGCCCTCCGCTACGTTAGGCTCCCACAACCCACCCTATGTCATACTCCGCGCTCCTTCCCCCCTGTATCCTCATCAACGCTCCCTCCCTCTTCTTCATACACCCGTCTCATACCTTCCTTGTCCCACCCTGCCCGCCACCGCTCTTTATATCTTTGCCCCACCTTCCCTGTCCCACCCTCCTTAACCCCACCTCTTCTTATATCCCGCCCATCCTCCCGCGAGCGCCCTCCTCCTCCTTACTTCTCCGCACCAACACTAAACACCCCCCGCAGAATAACGAAAGCGCGCAAGAAGAGATGATCAGGAACCAGGCGCTCATCCAGGAGCTCATCGCACGGACCTCCCGCCGAAGATTCCGGATATCAAGGTGGTTTTTTTTTTTCTTTTTGAGAGGGTTTGCCTCGAGTTTCTTTGACGGGGGCGTTTGGTGGGGAAGGGGGGTACGCGTCGGCGTCGCGTCTCGGGGGTGTACGCTCCGCGCCTCCCCGCGCCGTTTTGTGTCGCGGCGCCCCGCGTCGTTCCTGCGAAGCGGATATACGCCGACGGGCCCCGTTTCTGGCGTTCTTTGTGCGCCGCCGTGGGCTGCGGCGCTGCGCGCGCTGTTCCGCGCGGTTATATGCGCTGTGGCACCTTCCCGCGTCGTTTCGTGTGAGGCGGGTATCCACCGACGCGTCCCGCTTCTGCCGTTCTTTGCGCACCGCACGCGGGTCGTGCCCGCGCCTCCCCGCGTCGCGTTGTGTCATGGGGACCCGCGTCGTTTCGTGCGACGCAGGTATGTATACGCCGCAGCCCGCTTTCGTTCTGTGGGTGCAATGTGTGGTGCCACTGTGGGCTGCGTCGGCGAGACAGATGTGCACAGGCAGCGGGGGAGGGGAGACGCGCGCACTGTTCCGCGGGGTATAGGCACTGCGTGTGTCCCGCGCGTGTGGCGCCGCTGTGGGCTACGGGCTGTGCGCCGTGTCGTCGACGAGAGGGACGTGTGTGGGCGGCGGAGGAGGGGAGACGCGCGGGCGCTCTCCTTGCGTGCTCCTCCGTGCGACGGCCCTGCGCCGTCCCACCCGCGTTTCTGTGGGTCCCCGTGGGGCGTGTACGCAGGCAGGCGGAGGGCATGCGCCGCGCTTTTGTGCGCCGGCGTGGATGTGCGTGCCCTAGGCGGCGTAGCCGACGTGCCGCGGACAACGTCGTCTACGCAGACGTTACGGGCAAGCGGGGGCACACGCCGTGCTCTGCGCGACAGTGTAGATGTGTGTGCCATGGGCGGCGTGGCGGCTGGCCCAACGTTATGCGCCGCGAGTCGCACGGACTGCTTCGAGCGGCTGGCCCGCGGTGCGGTTTTGTGCTCTGCGCGCCGTAGGCAGCGTCGTCTACGCAGACGGTGCGGGTAAGCGGGAGCATGCCGGCGTGGATATGCGTGCCATGCGTGGTGTATCGGCGGCGACGACGTGGACGTGCTCTTATGCGGCGTGGCGGCTGGCGCGGCGTGCGGGCAGGTTGGGGCGCGCGCCGCGCGAAGAAAAGAGCGGACCCGTCAGGCAGTGTCCACAGTCTGGTATATGCGTGCATGACTTGTAGTGCGCTCAGTTTCCTCTTTTTTTTTTCTTCCCTCATCCTTTCTCCTCCTCGTCTCACTTACATATCGCTCTCCCCCTCCTACACACTCGATCACTTTCGCTATGCTAATTAATTACCTACCGACCCACCCACTTCACGCACGAGAATGAAGAATGATACTTGCATACATGGCATGTCGCCGAGCTGCATACGGTGATGATGAATAATAACTGAGGAGAATGTTGGCGCGCTCTCCTCGTTTTACTCACACTTCCCTCTAGCCTTCACCTACATACACACGCTCGATCGCTTTGCTATGCTAATTAATTGCCTACCCACCCACTTACGCGCACGAGAATGAAGAATGAAGAATGGGCTGTTGCAATGTACTCGCATACATCCGAGCTGCATCGTACATCCTTCCCCTCCCTCCTCCCGTGCTCCTCCGCGTTCCCCCTCCCTGCCCCATTCTCCATCATCCCTCCCTTCCCCGCCCCTTTTTCTCCCCCTCTCCGACCACATACTAACGCTCCCCGCAGAATGATGAAGGCGCGCAAGACGATGAAGAACCAGGTGCTCGTCCAGGAGGTGATCACGGAGATCTCGCAGCGCTTCGCCGTCGAAGAGTCCGGATATTACATAAGAAGGTGCAATTTCGGAGTCGTGTTTTCGGTGTGATTTGTGGGAGTGTGGGTTTTTTGTTATGGGTGGGGGTGGACGAGCTCGACTTGTGTGATTCCCGCGCTCTGCTCTGCGCCTCCCTGCATCTCTTTGTGTCATGGGGGCCAGCGTCGTTTCAGGCTACACGGGCGTGGCTTCGTATGCACCGACACTTTCTTTGGGCAGCACACGCGGGTCGTGTGTCGCTCTTGCTGTGCGCGCTTTAGAGCACATAGTTGGGCCGCATGTATTTGTGGCTACAACGCGGCACGTTTCGAAACGGGACTTCGCTGGGCGAATAAATTCATCCTGCTTCTTATCATAACAGTATTAATGGATGAGATGTGTATCAGTACGGCACTAGGAGATATATATATAAGACCTGTGTCTTATTGCTTGATCCCATCCTACACTCAGCCCACACTCAAATAGCCATGCCAGTGAGTCCAAATTTAGTTTCCATTGCCACATTCTGAACTTGTGGTTGAAGAAGTCAGAGTCCACGACCAAGAACGAATCAAATTTAGTTGTGGATCACAGACGGGTACGTGCAATGAGGAAGTGGTAGGGGAAGTGCATTGGCATCTTAGTGGGATTCTGACAGGTGCTGGAAGCAAAACCAGTGACATCAGGGGATATTGGAGAAGAAGATTATGAACCGGACCAATCAGTGAGTTTTTGGGAAAAAAAGTTTGAATGCTTGATGATCTGAGGGACCTTAAGGCTGCCCTGCAGAATGATCAGACCACTGTGGAGCAGACACCAGAGAGTCATCCTCGCCTGAGTGGACATCTTCGGAATCTGGTGGGGTCGTTCAGATCACGCATCCAGAATGTGGCAGTGTCATGCATGAAACGATATAAAAAAAAATCAGGTGATGCGAAGGACCTCGAGGCAGCACTACAGAACAGTCAGGCTGTGGAGCGGACACCCGAGGGGCATCCAGACCTGGCTAGCCATCTCCAGAATCTGGCAGTGTCATTCAGAGACCGATATCAAAGATCAGGTGATGTGAAGGATCTTGAGGCTGCATTACAGAACAATCAGGCTGCTGTGGAGCAGACACCTGAGGGGCATCCAGACCTGGCTAGCTGTCTCCAGAATCTGGCAGTGTCTTTCAGAGACCGATACCAAAGATTAGGTGATGTGAAGGATCTTGAGGCTGCACTACAAAATAATCAGGCTGCTGTGGAGCAGACACCTGAGGGGCATCCAGACCTGGCTAGCCGTCTCCAGAATCTGGCAGTGTCATTCGGGGACCGTTATCGAAGATCAGGTGATGTTAAGGACCTTGAGGCTGCGTTACAGAACAATCAGGCTGCTGTGGACCAGACACCTGAGGGGCATCCAGACCTGGCTAGCCATCTCCAGAATCTGGCACTCTCA